GGTAAAAATTTGAAGGGAGGGGTGCCCTTTGGTTCCAGATTTTCATTTGGTGTCAAACGCACCTTGTTGTAAACAAATGGAAATTGAAAGTAAAAGTGCCGCGTGACGGTATATTTTTTCTGGCATGTTTTGTTTTCCAATATCTCGAACTTTCACGACAAAAAGGCCATTTGCCCGAAATTCAATATATGTATGAGTGACAGGGGCTGAAGTTTGTATGGAAGTCTATGGGAAAACATTTAGTGGTGTTTGTCCTATAAACAAGGGAAAACGAAAGTAGAAATGCACATCCGGTAGTACCTTGCACTTCCGGTAATGATAAATAATGCACTAAAGTTGTAAAGTTGTGAAATCAGCTGTTCAACAAACAAAATTACAAAGTCAAATAAATACCAAAGTTTACCTGTTTACTCCGCTGTAAAATAAATCAGGGCAAAAGGGCATTCAATGATGTTTCAGTAAATACAAATTTCAAGTGAAATATTCAAATATTCTAAAGAAATAAACACAAGAACAACAATTTTCGATAAACTTTGTCAAAAACGCGTGTTTACATTTGTAATTTCCGGTGCGGTATAATCGGAATATCGAGCTCGATCAGTAAACGAAAAGAAACCGAACCCGAACAGTTAACTGTGAAAACGGAAGTAGTCAAACGAAAAAAACGAACCCGATCTGAAAAAAATATCAACAAAACGGCATGGCTTCTGAAAACTGAAAATAATGTAGCAGGTATGGAAACGAAACACTCTGAAAATGGATAGAAGTAATTTAAACTGCTTAACTATGGTTCTTTACACAACTATGCAAGTAAAATGACACACTTTAACCCAACTTCAATCAACTGACACCTGTTTTACTCAAACCAATGCAACACTACCACTTCAACTACCACTGTAAAACTCAACACCTGTAAAATATCTGTGTATTGTCAGTCTACAGTCTTGTTTGTCAAAAGTAAGACAGATGAATTAATCAACTACATATCTGTTATTCAAGTAATAATACCTGGAAACAAAGGGCTTAAGGGTAGGTAATGTGCTATATAGAAATAGAGAGGATACTTTTACACTACACTTTCTTACCAAATTAGGAAAATTTGAAATGAAATTTAAATAATTGCAAATTCAAATAAGCTGTCAAATAAACAAAATTCTAAATAATTTTAAGAGTACTCAAGCGTTTACAAATTTATAAAATAATTAATTACACTGAAATATGAAATAGGGTACCCAAAAGTAAAAAAAAATAAAGAACAAAAAAAATAAATAAGACAGACAGACAATGTCTATGCCGGCTTCTAACACAAATTACCTTCACTCACCAATCAGCTGATCTTATGATTACATACTTATGATATTTACATGTACATATATACAATATACTAATACACTGCACAAGAATGGTCCATGGACGGAACAGTCCAGAATCCAGAAGGAATCGCAGACAGTCTATGGAATACACAGTCACTACTGCACGATATCGTCTAGGCTCAAAGTGTTTATGTTCATGAGAAACTTAACAATCTAAGCTCACCAGAATAACGGAACCTCCGTCTGCAGGCTTTCCGTTGTATCCTGGACGTCCTGAGCGTACGTCTAATCCATCGTAGAGTTGAATTTCGTCTTGTCCCTACATGGGCGCCAAAATGTAACAGACTTGTGTTGAGGTAATTGTGTGGTCGTTAAGAATGAACAACAAGGCTGTTGGTTCGAGTTGAACAAGACAGTAACTCTTTATTCGATGGATAGATAATCATCAATCATCATCAAAACCCTATAATGAAATAACAAATTATAAATTCTAAGCATAAAAACTATAAAGCTATTCATCAATATATATGTACAAATCAATATATCAGATAGCTTTATCCGAATCAAGGGAGATAATTCAATTACATGAAAATTACATAATAAAATCTCCCATTGCTTTAATTAATGAATATTTAGAATAAAATCTTTACAATAATTATTATTCCAATGTATATGTACATTATCAATTATTGTTTAGCATAAAAACAATGAACATGCGTACCATTCAATGGGAATGGGTCAAATGCTGTACAACAGCATATAAGCTGCATACACAAAACTGTATATGTACTAGGATAATATCTACAAATCAACAATAAACACCTTTGTAGATATCTATACTAATCATAAAATAAAGTTTACTTTAAAAATATGAAAAAGTGAGACAGCACTGTATTTACTATTTACACATAACTCTATATCTAAGGTCTCACTCTCACTATACATTTACTCCAGAAAAGTGATTAAAGGAATTAAGTGCAAAAATTACAGATTTCACATTTAATAGAATTAGAATTATATTACTCATTAGTATTAAAGAATTACTCACCATGCAATAGGAAATGTTGGTCTCAAGGTCAATGTCTGATTTGTAAAACAACTATGGAAAATCAGAGACAAAAACACTTCCAACACATATGGCAACCAAGCAAGAATTACCCAAAAACACAAAGAAAACTTGGAGGGAAACACAAAAACCAATAGAAAACCATAAGACAATACTAAAAAACCAATGAAACTAAAAGATACAAAATGACCATGGCCAGAATATAATTAGCACCCTGAGGCTAACTCTGGACCTCTCTGGAAAAGAATCATTTAAAAATCAATACACTTAACTACAGGTTAAATGAATAATTACATAATTCAGCTGTAGAAGTGTGCTGCAAGTAAAAACATATATAATTAAATAAATGAATAGATGCACATGCAATATGCATTGCTATGCACATGTGCATAATATATAAAACATGAGTCTGTCACATTTCTGTATATGTATCTGCATCTTTTTACACCTTTTCTTGAATTTATAGTTGCATTATACTCCTGCAGTTTCTCCTTCACTACTGCAAACATGATAAAGTGAGGAGTAACAAAAGTGGCTTGGTAAAACATTTACTTGAATTCGCTATGTATCTTTCTTCGAACGGATTTTTACGAAGTTTTTGGAATCCAGTATAGGAGATATGGTAATTCAAGTTCATTCAGATTGTTAGGAATATCGAAAATATTCAAAACTGACAAATGATTTTGAAGACTTTCCTCCTTAGAAAGGCAGCTATATGGGTATAAGGTGGATTATGTCATCAGAATTACCACAGATGGAAGCCTGTGACAACACCAGCTGAATGACCAATGATGCCTAGAAGAACTGGTGCCAGAAGACTAAAACAATGTCATTTGTGGCGTCGGTAGTCTAGTGGTTAAGGTGCCGGACTCCAAACCGAAAGGTTGTGAGTTCGAATCCTAACCACGGCAAGTCGACGTTGTGTCCTTGGGAAAGGCACTTTACACGAATTTCCTCACTCCACCCAAGTGTAAAAGGGGTACCTGGCTATGGACAGTGAAAGATATTATCAGAATATTAGTGTTCTAGCGCCTTAACGGCAGCTTGCACTGAGAAAGATTCTGGATTGTTATGGTCTGCTGGGGTAATATTGTATTGTAAAGCGCTTTGAGTAGCATTTATGCTAGAAAAGCGCTATATTAAAACAATCATTATTATTATTATAGAATAACCAGTGACAAAAGACTGGAAAAAAATTAACGTCAATAGAAATACATTATAGAAACCTGCAACAAATCAGAAAAAAATTACCAATGATAAAAGATTGGAACGTACTGAGAATTTATTTACATGGAATATAAAGAAATCGTGGTGTTTTCCTTGGTGCTTAGATAAGAGACTTGGTTTTGCTTCGTATATAATTCCATACAAAATTTTGCACAAATTTTTAATCTTGTGACAAAATCTGCAATTCTCCCACTAAACTTGGTATACATTATTAAGGTTACCAATTTACATGTAAATCTATGAGAAGTATTGTTGATTTCTAAGAAAAAGTTTGTTGTGTTATTTATCCTTAAGACTGAAACGTAACTAGCATTACCAATGAAAGAAGTCAATGGAAAGACCCTGGGGTCACTCCATGTGCAGAAATGCATTTGATTAGGTTTAGGTTAGCAAGTAAGTCATCTAAGAAGTATAAATAGCAATAAGTCTGCCAAAACATGCATCTAAGTCTTCTTTATTAAAAAATGTAACATGAAATATATGTAACAATGTAATTAATACAGAATTATTTGTAACAATAAATAGAGAATACAATTACAAAGAACACCTTTCTTTCTTATAAATATAAATTATCATTTATCACAGCATTGTTAACTAATATAACACACAACAGTAAATATCTATTAAACAAGTATAAAAATATTTAGTATCACAGCTTTTGTTTGAAATACTAGTCACTAAAAAATGGAATGAGCCATATTCATCTGTCAGAGCATCTCATTTTCGCCATCATCTTAAAGCCTATCTGTAATTTTAAAAATTACGTCTTAAAGCTAGCCTACCCACCCATCCCCATCCCCCAACTTTGTATCCAAAATAACTTATTACAGTTAAGAATATTGATTGAAATGCCAAATCTCTTTTTTTCTGATGTTTCTTTAAATCGACCCAGGTAGTGTATTAATAAAACTTTTTGTAGATAAAAATGGAACCAATAAATCCTTATCAGTACAAATAACAGTGTGTTTGTGAGAATGCAATAAAAGGGGAAAAAGTATTGGCTGATTCAAAACTGATTTACAGTATCTCTCCTCAGCTAAAATTATAGAAGGATACTTTCTTCCAAATTTGGCTGAAATACATGTATAAGCCACCAGAACTAAATGTAAAAAGTGTAATATGTTCAGACGAGGTAAAAAAAAAAAAAAAGCAAACAAAGTCTATATTTCAACATAAATATAAAATGTTTCCTTCAAAGAAGTTTAAATAAAAATATAAAATTAAAAGATTATAACATTAAAAAGATTGAATCTCTTAAACATAACAAAGAAATATAACAAAGTCTTGTTCTCATGAAATACTAACAGAAATATAAAATGCATGATCCACATGAAAAAAATGAGATCAAAATAACATAAATTCACAGCTTAATCATATCCAATTGAATATCTGATATTTATCCTCATATCAAGTGTCCGTTTCTGTTGCACATACGAAGACAAAAGAACCATTTGCTTCATATTTTTAGAAAGAATACCGTTGAGTTTTTCAATTCTGCTATACGCCTTGACATCAATAGGATTACATAATAACTGAAATAAAGGAAAGGCATGATAGCTAAATGCTTAATACATCAAACTTGTACAGTGGGGGCTTATAAATCTGGATTCTGAACTTCAAGAATTAGGACCCTTCACCTTCCAGATGTAAATTTATAGGGCACATAATTTATGAGTATATTTCAGTATACAAGGTACTAGTAATACAGATGATTCTGTAGTTTGAATGATTGGATTAGAAACACAAGCACAAAAAGTAATTGAGGCTTTAACTGTTTTTAAACAGTGAATTCACAACGGATTTTCCTGTTATTTCCCAATCATGACAAGGAGCACACAGCGGGTATGACTGGTTGGCAGGGTGTGCTCACTCCGACATGGCACCCGATTCAAACTCCGATGTTTTGGGGGTCTGTGTTTGCTATACTTCTTTTCTGCATTGTTTTATTGACTTTTGATCTTGAATACTGTTCGTTATCTCCATATGTTTCATTTTTTAAATTAAATGGTAAATTACACATTTAGTTTGAGGTTTATTTTGCTTGTTTTGTCAATGCAATATAGATATCTAGAAAATTGGTTAAATAGAAATAAGATTTTTCTAGTCATTACCTCAGACATTCTTGAGATGATAAAGTCTACCAAATCAACCAAGGACAGTAACTGCTTCCCAATTCCCGACTTCCTTGATAAGCTACCCATTGATACAAGTATGTTCTCCGATAATTTCACAGTCTATTAAATAAAAAAATAATTAAATCAGAAACTAGATGTGAAAGTGTGACATGATCAAATGTCCTTGATAATAAGCAAGTTTTAAAAATGAGAAAGACTAAACCCATGAATTTCATAATTTTTAAAATGGCAAAAACACAACAATAAACAGCAACAAAAAATAAAGTATCATATTGCTGCTTTTGTTTATATTGACCAATGGCACTGTTATTTTAAACCTACATGACTGTGTATTATAGTAAATCACTTTTTCTGTGGAAGAACTTTATTTTTTGGTAAATACACAATTTGGTCTGGTTGCGAATACTTCATTCTTGATTTATTTGCAATATAAAGAATAATATGTCAAAATAACACAAAACTGGGAAAAACTTGTCTTCATTTTAAAAAACAAAAAAATATGTTGCCTTAATACGATTTTTAATTTGCCTTTTTTATTTACATTTCTATTGAAGAATTGCATGTATATATTTATATTTTTCATGTTATGTAGCTAATATTTTACTTGTACATGTATGACTTTGATCTTTGTATTATGGAGAGGACTTACATAGGCAGTGCCTGTGGTCCGATCCTATTATGTTTATTCATTATAAAATATTGTTTAAATTAAATGGACCTGATACTTTACCAACTAATACTGTGCTTTCATCAAATTTCGTTGCCATCAATTTTTGTGGATTTTGTAATACAGACATTTTCGATGATACTTAATTTAGTGGACGAAAGCATTGTCTATACAAATGAATAACACATTTCTCAATTCAATGAACATTTAATTTCATGGATCTGCTCAACAACAAATTCCCCGAAAATTGGTGCTCAACGAATATTGATGAAACCACAGTACTCTACTAAACCTTAAACAACAGGAGTTTTTAAAACCATTTACATTTCCCATCTTAGCAGAGCAAGGTTACCTCAACAAGAATATTCAGGTACTGTAGCTGTAAAGATCGTAGGCACATCTGGTTCTGCAGTTGGTCACATCTAATATGGCTGCATTTGCTCCTGGGAGTTAATTTGTCCTAAAATGTACCACAAAAGGTGGTATAATTATACTTTCTCAGTAGCAAAAACTAATCCTTTCTTCATTATAAAATCCTTTTCTATATATGTAATAATTGTATCATTTAATTTTTTGTTTGTATAATTTCTCTTCGCTTTTTACCTTTTTGGCCTTTCGAAGTAAAGTATTCCTCCAACGTATTAATTTACTTGACTGGACTCGATATAAAAATGCCTTTGTAAGATACTTTGTTTGAAACTTCACAACTTTACTGTTGACTAGTTCTACTTCCTGAAAACCAAAACAAAACAAATTCTTAATATTTCCATTTCTAATTTTTTTCTCTGTGATAACTCTTTGGAAGTTAGCGGATTTCTTGATAATTCTACTGGAATGTAAATTAGGCAGGTTTTTATCTGGGCAAAAAAAAAAAATTTGGGTGAAATCCTTTCACAAGTTTGAAAAGGTAAAATTTACAAAATGTGAAAATGGCTCAATACATAGTATTTTTTTTTATTGTACTATTAATGACTAATAAAAACATTTGCATATTATCTAAATAAGACTGACCTGTAAAGGTACTTCTTTACAATTGTGAACACCATAAGGGTTGTCTCTAAGACAAAGCCAGCAGAAGTGATGGCCACATCTACAGGTCATTGCATTGCATCCGCCGTTTTTGTCCACTTTCTCTCTACAGCGAGGACATGGCTTCACATTTACTCTGAAGGTCCTTACATAGTCATCCTCATTTAGCAGATCTGTAACACGTTTTGTCTACATAACAGTATTCATTCCTTGATAGATTTGAAGACATATTCTCTTGCAAGTTAAATTGTAACTGAATTTTTGCAATATTTTATTGCGATTTTATTTTTGAGATATTCCCCATACCTTTCTGAATATTAAGAGCTTTGACATATTCCCCAATCTGCTTGCATGATGCTGGCCAATGAGGTGGTTCCTCACATTCCATGCAGAACTCTGTATGGCACAAACATGTCACACCCCTCATCTTCATATGGTCCTTTACAAATATCCCCCTTTCCTTAACTCTTTGATCTAGAATGAATTGCAGAAAATTTAACACAACAGCTTTGAGAATCTATTCACAAAATGTCTACATGTATTACTCTTGAAAGAATTTGCTAGAATTACATGTATGTGAAAGATATACCTCTTAAAGATTAAATAAATTTTAAAAGATGAAAGTCACAATTAACAAATGTAAAATGACATGGAACATAATTATAGTTGAACCCTAAACAATATACAGTAAATCATGTTTATAGCAAACAAGCATATAAGGAATGGATGCTACAGTGATTTCTCTTCGTTATGGCCTTAGAATATATATTGTTAACTAAACAGATATAATGAATAACATATATAAGGAAGCAAAATCACTCATCCTTGGCACTTCATTATAAGCCAGTCTCAAGCTGTATGTAATCCGTAAGGATGAGCAGTGATGTCAGTGCCCTACCTTTCTCACTAAGTGATACAATGAGATTGCATGTTTTGTTGGGACACCACTTCCACAGTCCAGTAGACATCACTGCCTGCTCCTGTTTTCGACTTGACCACTGACCAAATACATGGGAAGGCACCACAGACATAATCAACAAAGGATCCATCATTGACTCACATTTGTACTCCTAAAATAATGTATGGATTGTTTATACACCAGTTTGTTTTGAATTTCAAATTCTCCTTACTTCATATTGTAACACGATACTAAAAACAAGAATATATATGTAGGAGGTAAAAATAAGTTTTATCTGAGTTTTACTGGTTCCATATAGAAATTTTCTGGATAAGATAATGTTCCAGATATTACCATTATACAATATTTTTACTGAAAGGGGCTAAATGTTTTAACAGTAATCACAAGATTTCAGAATAACAACAGCAGGGCTAGACATACAACTTACCAGACACGAAAGACTCCGAGCGCCAGTTCTGATTTTCTCCAAGACATACTGGACAAGACAGGTTCTGCAGAAGTAGTGTTGACAGGGTTGAATGAGAACACCTTCTGTGAGGTCTGATCCACCTGAGTCCACGTCTGTGTCACAAAGTGACACGAAACACACACCACACTCTAAGTCGTTTTTAGCAATTCCGTTGAGAGAGACAGGGGGTGGTGGCCAAGTCTTTTTTACCTGTTTGAAAAAAAGTATGCTTCAATATTAGAAAGGTTTTTGCCAAAAGAATATATTTACATTGAAGGCATAATTTATGTATTCTCATAGTTTTAATGATATTCACTAAATAATAGTTATGATGAATTGTTGAAAAAAAAGAAAAGTATAGAAAGACACTTGTACTAGTGCAACTTAATATAGCAAGGTGTTTATTCAACAGATAATTTTTTTCACCTGACTTTGTAATAACAATTCAGCTTACAATGGGCTCCCCATTTTCAGAAAAAGTAAAATCTTAAAACATTTAGTGCAAAAAATTGTTATGCATCAGTCTTATTAATTAATTAATTACTACATGTAAAATGTCAGATTACCTCTGCATGTAGATGACAGTTCTGTAACAAGGCTTGTTTAATGGTGCTCACACTGTACGTCACCCTGGGCAACCAGTCAAACACAGACTCCAGTGCACAGGCTTTAGGCTGACCCAAATTTTGAAGTGACCTAAAAATAAAATTTTTCATTAATTCGTATCTGAGCACTAAATCTTTTGCAACACTAGCTGTCAGACTTGGCTGTGCTGCCATTTACTCTTTAAAAAAATTTTAAAATATTTACCAGGTAGTGTTTAGGTTTTTTTTTTAAATTACAGCAAATGTCAAATGGATTTAACATGCCTGCCATGATACATTATATGAGACTAAATCTGGAAAAGATGTCAGCAACTTGCCAAGCCACTCATTTTAAAGTATGAACTTTTTTTAATATACAAACCCAATGAAAGAGCCATAACTCATGGTGCAATACTTTTCCAAACTCTCAGCTTATTTATATAATAAAACAACTACAAATAATTACTTTTGACTATTAGTCAATACAACTTCACATTCAAATTAAAACACTTGATAATAAATACGCTGTTATAAACCTACATCTGAGAGTCCTTTGGCTGAATGCTGCCCTTGGCAAACCGGAATACTTCTCCGAGTGAAAGAATAAGTAACTCCTCTTTTGAAGTCACGAAGTCAACAAGATCTCTATTTATCTTCTCAATGGAATATATTTCTTCACTTCCAACAATTCTTAACCTGAATGAAACAGATAATACATGATTGTGCATGCATTTGCACCATGTAAGACATTTTAGCTTTCACATCTTTTACATATAAGAATAAAAAATAAAATTAACTCTTTGATTTCATTAATGCTTTGAATATCAAGCAGCAGTGTGTACATTATTTCCCTTGATATTTTCATTTTATATTGATTTACACTTGTAATTTGTAACATGTTTACCTGCACTCAGCGATCCCTTCCTCTGAGGCAGAAACAGCAGAACTTATTTTTTCTTGCAAAACAAGTGCTGGGTCCTCTCCGTCAAAACTGACATTTTTATTTTTGTCTTCCATCAAACATGTCTCCAGTGGAATGACAAAAATAGTGGGATGTGAACTGGTTGAGTAAAAACTTGGAATTTTTCTCAAAAAGTCCTCCATTTCTGCCCTCTTGAAGAAGCACTCCACATTAGGAGGTAAAAAGATTTCTGGTAAAATGTCAGGAGAATCTTTTGAAGCCTCGGAAACTGAGCTGCTTTCCTCTCTTCCTTCTGTTTTATCCTCATTCATGTACACAATATGGTCCTTCCCATCCCACTCCTCATCTGAAAATCTTTTTCTCCTTCTCTTCTGTTGGCATCCAGCTTTCTGTTTTCGCCATTCTTTCTTCAAACAATCAGAAATATCTACCTCTATAGTGTTTTTCTTTGGCACACAACAAGCATCCTCATCATAAGCACTGAATGTATAGACAACTTCATCACAATAGTTGGTTTCTTCCAAACAGGTCCTGCATTCCGTCGTGAATCCTTTCTGACTAGTACTGCTATATCCTATAAAATCATCATTTTCTTCAAGTCTTTCCTTCAGTTGCAGTTTCTTCCAAACAGAACGACATCCATTTACCATTCCTTTAACCTTAGGTAATGATTTTTTCCAATTCCCGTAACAATATGGTAACTTGTCTGTAGCTTCAATAAAATGAAACAAAATATTGTACACATTTAAACATGATTAGCCTGTTACCAAGTGTATTGCAAATGAATTGGTACCAAGAAGCCTAGGGACACATTGCTCACCTGAGCACTTTGACTAGAAAAAAGCTGAAACAAATTCAGTAAAGTTTAAAAATATGTGAGTGGTCTGGGGGAGGGGGGGGAGGTCCTGATTTGAAAAAAACTCGAATCTACACTACCTCTTTTTATATTTTTATGACCAATTATGCATTTGTTCCTGTGAAATTTTTACAGATTTTCTCCCATATATTCCTATGTAAAACTTTGATCCCCTATTGTGGCGCCAACCTTCCCTCTGGAGCATGATTTGAAAACAAACTTGGATCTACACCACCTGAGGATGTTTCCATAACAAGACTCATGAAGAGGCCCACGGACCACATTGCTCACCTGAGGAAGCTTTGACCATGCTATTCTTAACCAAAATCCCCCCTTGTAATACCTACTGTGACCTTATAGTACCCCACAGGTCATAATTTGGACAATTATATATCTACACTACCCCAGGATGCTTCCACATAAGTTTCAGCTTTTCTGACCAAGTAGTTCTTGAGAAAAAGATTTTTCAAGTTATTTTCCTATATATTTCTATGTAAAACTTTGATTCCCCATTGTGGCCCCACCAAACCCTCGAGGGTCATCATTTGAACAATTTAACATATACATTACCAAAGAATGCTTCGACGCAAGTTTCAGCTTTTCTGGCCCAGTGGTTCTTGAGAAGAAGATTTTTAAAGATTTTTTCCTATATATTTCTATGTAAGATTTTAAGTCCCTATTTTGGCCCCATCCAAAATCTGGGGGTCATAATTTGAGCAATTTAAAATCTACACTACCCAAGGATGCTTCCACCTGAGTTTCAGCTTTTCTGGCCCGGTGGTTCTTAAGAAGAAAATTTTTAAAGTTTGCTTCTTTTATATTTCTACGTAAAACTTTGATTCCCTATTGTGGCCCCACCCAACCCCCGGGGGTCATGATTTGAACAATTCAGAATCTACACTACCCCAGACCCCAGGATGCTTCCACATAAGTTTCAGCTTTTCTGGCTCTGTGGTTCTTGAGAAGGAGATTTTTTAATGACCCCACCCTACTTTTGTCTTTTCTTGATTATCTCCCCTTGTGAAAGAACCTGGCCCTTCATTTTAACAATTTAAATTTCCCTTCATCCAAGGATGCTTTATACCAAGTTTAGTTAAAACTGGCCCAGTGGTTCATGAGAAGATGTCAAAAATGTGAAAAGTTTACAGACAGATGGACAAATTGTGATCAGAAAAGCTCACTTGAGCCTTCGGCTCAGGTGAGCTAAAAATATGACCAATCACAATTTTGCTGTCCTTGAAAAGATTTTTAAAAATTTTTCCAATGTTTCCTATGTTAAACTTTGATCCCCTATTGTGGCTCCACCCTACCCCCATGGGTCATGATTTGAATAAATTTGAATCTACACTACCTCAAAATGATTCTACATAAGTTTCATATTTTCATGCATAATGGTTCTTACGAAAAACACTTTTTAAGGTGTTTGGCTTCTGACATTAAAAATAATTGAAAATGATTTTTTTCTTTTTTAATTGTAAGAATAAACATAATAAATTATTTTAAGCCAGAAAAATGCATATGAATATGATTTAATTTTCAAGCTATAGGTGTTCCTGACAAAGGGAGGTAATTCTCTCATTTTAGTAAAGAAAAAGACCAAATTTGTGTCCAACATATTTAATATTTATTTTAAACTAAGAAATGTTTTCAAATCATTCCAACCTTTTGCTATCTTTTAAAAGTAGTCATAGGGAATATAAATATTGATAAAATAATAATGATAATTGATAGAAGATAAAATTTAATTCTTATCAAAAAGCACACACCCTCATACAAAAAAATGCCTTTTTTTCCTTTCACAGGGCTTATAAAATGAGCTTGGAAAATAAATTAGAAATAATTAACAAGTATTTTTTTTTCTATATATTTGTTACTTAGATGAAGTGCTTTCAAATGGTGTAAAAAATTGTATATCAATATGAGTTACTTTTAAAGATATTTTAACTTGAATTTCCTCTGACCCATTTTTCTCAAATTTTGACCAGAGGA